TTATCAATTAAATAAATATTGCAATCAATCTTTTAATAAATTTATTTGTTTATTATAAATATTAATTATGTAATAAATGTTACTTTATATGAGACACAATTAAAATTATATAAAGAAATATGTTTTAATGGCTCAGTTTTTACAAATTATACTATTTGTATTAAAGAATGTTGTAATTATTCTTATATGGTTATCAGTTATAGAAAATATTACACCACAAAGAAAGTTAAATTTTTTCTATAAAATTAATGGATTGTTTGTAATTAATTTTGGAGTTTTAGTACATCATTGTAACAACAATAACAGTTACAATCCAAGTCAAAATGATTCAACCCTTTATTTAATATTACTTTTTATATTTCAACTAATAGATCTTCATAACAATATTTATTTCATTAAAAATTATATCAAATTGAATAATCGAATTTACTTTGGAATATTTGCATTTGTAATAATTTTATTGCTTGAGATTGTTTTGATGAGAATTTTAAGAAAAAAAATATTTAAAATTATAGTAATGAAAATTTTAAAAATGACTAACGATTCTAAAACACTCCATTTATTTTTAATTGTATCAAGACTTAATCTTTTAAGGAATATTTTTATTATTTTTGGGAGTTTAAAAATAACAAGAATTTTTTACTTATTTTATAGAAAAATATTTGAAGTAAAGAAAATAGAAAATGATATTAATATTGTTTTATCTGAGACAAGTGTAGATCATTTAACTATCGTACCCCTACTTTTACTATTAAAGTACATAAATGTAAAATTAACAGATCAAAATTTCATTAAAAAAAGAGTTATTTTACTATTTATATTAATATTAGGAGTAGTAATTGAGATATTGGGAATTATAGATTCAAGATTTATTGTAAAAATAAAATGGGAAACAATTTATAAGTATGTTATCATTTCAGAAGATTGTTATCATTTGTGTCTCATTATTTACTATCTAGTTGGAATTTATTACACAATTATAAGTATAATTTACTTTGATAAAAAATTGGCAAATCATGTCAGAAAAAGTCAAAATAAAGATAGATTGACAATTTGTTAATAAATTTTTTGATATTAATAATCTTTTATAGATTTTATAATTAACCACATTGTTTATTTTTAATTAAGTAGAAAAATTTCTTTAATGAGAAAATTAAATTAAATATTTTTTAGTGATAAAGTATTAAGAAATACACAAATTAAAGTAATGTCAAACTTTTCACATTTCAAAGTGTTTATAAATTTTTATAAATAAAAACATTTTCCCCCATAGAGTCAATGGAAGATATACGGAAAATGATATATAAACTTAATGTACAATCTATTTTACTACACATAGCAGCATTTGTAATAAAAAACATGCTAGTGTTTTTAATGTTGATAAAAAGAAAGGATGGTATATTGGATATTTTTGATATTGGATATTATGGAGTGTTGTTCTTAGGATTTAATATTGGATTGTATGTAATAATAATATTAAATCTTTTATTTAGTAACATCAAAGCACATGGATTTAAATATATCATTTTACTAAAATTTTACTATTTAGTTATGCTTTATAATCAATTTATTAAGGCTGATTTAAATAGAGTTGTAGAAAATTTGGACTTTTATATTTTAACTTTTCAAAGCTTAAGGAAGAGTATTGTTTGTTTTTAATAAGTCTTCTTGAGATTATTGTTATGATAAAACTAACTAGTAAAATAGGCGAATTGATAATAAAATCAACCAAAGGGATTTATTTTGAAGATTTTTTTCTTCAAACAATTTATAGAAATGAAATTGAAAAATATAGAAATGTTTTTCTTATGATACTTTTATTGATATTATTAATCAATTTTTATATTTTTATTGTAGTAACTTGTATGGGGATTATTAGCATTGAAATAGATGAAGGATTTATTTTTTATAGAATTTTTACAGTTATAATATTAGTTGGTATTGTTGCTACTCTTAATATTAATGAATCACATGAATATTTTAAAGAATTGAGAATTTGTTCTTTAATATTTCACATATTTGGATTGATTAAATCTATCTTTTTAATTACACAAGAAGAGGGTGATTATAAAACATTAAAAATTTACTTGACTGAGTCTATTCAAGTATTACTAGCGATATTTTATACTATCGGTGCTTATTATTTGATATTTGATGTAAAACATTTTGACAGATCGAGATATCTGAGACAAGAAGATTTATAATAAAATAATCAAATTTTAATTATCCGTTAAAGACATCATCTTGAATTACAATCTTTTGTATTTCATCTTTTTTTCTTGCCATTTCCATAATTCTTTCTTCAATTGTATCTTTTACAACTAATTTATACACAGTTACATTTTTAGTTTGTCCAAGTCTATGAACTCTATCCATTGCTTGTTGATCAACAGTTGGATTCCAATCACTATCATAAAATATAACTGTATCAGCCGCTGTTAAGTTCAATCCAACACCACCGGCACGTGTACTCAGTATGAAAATAAAAATACTCTCATCATTTTGCCACTTTTCAACAACATCCTTTCTATAACTAATTTTTGATGATCCATCTAATCTTAAGTATGAATATTCTCTTTCTGTTAAAAATTCTTCAAACAAATCCATCATTCTAGTCATTTGGAAATAAATTAAAATTCTATGATCTTCTCTTTTCAACTCAATCAATAACTTTTCCATTGTAATTAATTTCCCAGAATCTTTTATAAATGTGTCAAGTGGTGGAATAAAAGTATGTTTTTCAACATAACTGTGTAAATCTTTAACAGGTGATGATTTAGAAGTTAATGACGGTAAAGTATAATCAACCATTTTTTTCTTAACAAAACAGAATTTTTCTTTCAACTTATCATTTATCATTCTTTCCGTTTCAAATTCTTTTAAAATTTCTTCTTTTTTATTTCTAAATTTAAAAATATTAACTAACGGATCTATATAATTACCAACTATTTCTCTAATCATTTCAGTTTTTTGATCAATTTTAAACTTTTCTGAAAGAAGTAACAATTCTTTCTCTCTATTCTCAATGTGATATCCATCACCGTTAATGTTAAAATTTAATGAGCATTTAGCTTCTAATTTTTCAAAAAGATCTGGGTGGTTACAAACTTTTTTTAGATGCATAATTGTATTTTCATAGTTAAATTTGGAATTTAAAATTTGATTATAAAGAATTTTTTGTCTTGGTGATAATTCACAATAAACATTAACAATTTCTTTAGTTCCGATTTCATTTTTAATATCATTTTTATCTCTTCTCAACATAAAAGGTTTTAAAATTGTATGAAGCTTATTTACTTGTTCTTGATCAATTGTATTACTTTCAATTTCTTTACTAAACCAATCAGAAAATTCAGCAAGTGAGTCAAATAATGTTGGCATAATAAAGTGTAGTAAAGTCCATAATTCAGTCATGTTATTTTGAATT